GCCACCAGCCACGAACATTCTCTGCAGAGAGACCAATTTCTGAATTATTGCAGGTAAGACGCCGAGGCTGAGAACTCTGTTATTTTTTTTCCGAAGTCGGGGTGACAAGCATCTCCCCTACCCCCAACTTCTGTAAGCCCCGACAGCCCTGCCGACCACCCACGCCTGCCACGTTGTCGACTCTTAGGCCCAGATCACGAATCTGAAAATAACTGAGTCACATAACAAAAAGCTTAGTAAATTCGTAGACAAGGATATACCAACACTGAAATCAGATACGACAACGTTCACATATTTACTTTCTAGATCTACTGATTTTAATACTGCAACTTTGTTATCTAATGAATTTTAATCCTAAAATTGTATTAACAACTGCCACTTAATTTTGCTCCATTAAATTAAATAGGAGCTGGAGCAATAGTACAGCGGGTAGGGCGTTTGCCTTGCACGTAGCCAACCCGGGTTCGATTCCCAGCACCCCATATGGTCCCTTGAGCACCGCCAGGAGTAATTCTTGAGTACAGAGCCAGGAGTAACCTCTGTGCATCGCTGGGTGTGACCCAAACAGAATAGAAAAAAAAAAATTTAAAAAAAAAACTGTACCTCATGGTGTCTCACTAATAAAAATTGAAAAAAGAAAAGAAAAGAAAAGTACAGACCCTGGAAGATGACTGTCCAGGTTTGAGTACTGGTTGTGCTACCAAGAAGTTCTGTAATCTTTAAAGTTATTTAAACCTCCTTGTTTAACTCATCTGATCTGAAAAACGAGGAAGAGTGAGGTGAGAGGGTGGAGGGAAGGGGAGGGATGGATATAATGCAATTCTTACTAGGGAACTTGCGAAGATTACACTGTGTATTTCTAAAGCACTGAGGAAGGTAACTGGATTGAAAATTGAAAAATGGTATACGTGTCAGCTACTATTATCTACTATTACATAAGCTCATAAACTCAAGAACTTTTTAGTCTACGAATCTATTAAGTCATATGCCTGCTAATGTCAAGTTTGGTAAGTAGAAGCTATTTTCGTAAACCAATAACTGAGTAATAAATACTTTGTTGTTAAGAGGCATAAAATGATCATTCTTTATAAGAGAAGGAAGGACATGTAGGGATGGGTTTTAACTATCTTTACATTCCCCAGAATGATTACTACTTGGTCATGGTGTATAATCTTTTTGATGAGCTACTGGATTCTATTTGCCAGGATTTTGTTCATGATTTTTTGTATCTGTATTCATCAGAGATATCAGTTTGTATCTCTTTTTTTGTGTTATGTCTGCCTGCTTTTGTTGTAAGAGTGACATATGCCTCATGGAAAATGTCTGGAAATGTTTCTGTTCCTTCAATCATGGAAAATCTTGAAAATAATTGGCAGTAAGTCCTTGTAAAGGTTTGAACAAATTCATTAATAGTTGAATCCATTTGAGCCTGGAATTTTGTTTTGGGGAAGACTTTTGATTTACCATTTCAATATCTTCAATAATGACAGTTCTGTTCAGCTATTCTAAATCTTCTTGATTAAGTGTTGGAAGATTATAGGATACAGGAAACTATTCATTTCTAGGTTCTCTTGCTCCGTGGCATCAAGATTCTCAAAGTAATCTCTGATAATCCTCTAAATTTCTGTGGTTTCTCCTGTGATGTCCCTTTTTCATTTGATTCTGTTTATTAGGATTTTCTCTCTTTCTGAATCTTGTTAGTCATTTATTTATTTTTTAACATTTTTTTTTTAAAGAACCAGCTCTTGGTTTCATTTCTGTTTTGGATTTTTTTTTTGAATTCCAGCTTGTTAATTTCTTCCCTTAGATTTGTTATTTCCTTCATCATGCCTGGTTTGGTATCCTTTTGCTGGTCATTTTCCAAAATCTTAAGCTGTGAAGCCATGTTATTTATGTAGACCCTTTCCCAATTTCAAACTGTACTACAAAGCATTAGTAATTAAAACAGCACAGTATTGGAATCAATAAAGACAGACTCTCCGATCAATAGAATAGAGCTGAATATCCTAGCACAGACGTGCAAATACATGAACACTTAATTTTTGATAAAGGAGAAAGAAATATGAAGTGGATCAATGACAGTCTTTTCAACAAGTAGTGCTGGAAAACCGAGGCAGTTATATGCAAAAGAATGAACACAGACATCTTTCTAACACCATGTACAAAAAAGGCAGATGAAAATGGATTCAAGAGCTCAATACCAGGCCTGAATCCTTAAGGCACAATGAGGAAAATTTAGGCAGAACCCTCTATGTCATTGAAACTAATGGGATCTTCAAAGATGAAACACCACTGATCAAGCAACAGGAAGAAAAGATTAAACTAATAAGCGTCTGCACAAATGGTGACAAAGATACAAAGTGTAAGAAAAATTATATACCAGACATTCAGTTATCTGATAATAAGTTACTACTGAAGTTACGGGCTGGAGCGAAAGCACAGCGGTAGGGCGTTTGCCTTGAGCGCAGCTAGCCTGGCCGAGCCGAGTTCGATTTCTCTGCCCCTCTAGGAGAGCCCGGCAAGCAACCGAGAGTATCTCGCCCACACGGCAAAGCCTGGCAAGCTACCCGTGATGTATTCGATATGCCAAACACAGTAACAAGAAGTCTCAAAATGGAGATGTTACTGGGCCCGCTGGAGCAAAATCGATGAACAACGGGAGGACAGTGACAGTGACAGTGACGGGCTGGAGCGATAGCACAGCGGGTAGGGCGTTTGCCTTGCCCGCAGCCGACCCGGGTTCGATCCCCAGCATCCCATAAGGTCCCCCCGAGGGTTTGATTCCTCCACCCCTCTCAGAGACCCTGGCAAGCTACCTGTGATGTATTTGATATGCCAAAAACTAACAAGTCTCACAGAGATGTTACTGGTGCCCGCCTGAGCAACTCGATGAACAATGGGAGGACAGTGCTACAGTGCCACTAAAGTTACATAAGACACTGGCAGAACTTTACAAGAATAAAAACATTCAACTCCATAAAAAAAAAATGAGGAAAAATGAACAGAAACTTCCTCAAAGAAGTTATACAAATGACCAAACAGCACATGAAAAAAATACTCTACATCATTAATCATTAGGGAGGTTCAAATAAAAGTAACAATGAGATATCATCTCACATTACAGAGACTGGCACATATCAAAAAGGACAAGAAAGGGACTCTCTTTCATTGCTGGTGGGAATTTCAACTGGTCCAACCTTTTCTGAAGACAACATGGGCATTCCTCAAAAACCTACAAACTGAGCATCCATATGTCCCAATAATAATACCCCTGGCAATATACCTTGAGGTGCAAAATCACACTCCAAAAAAGCCATTCGCATTCTATGTTTGTAGGATGACAATTGATTTGTTCTTTCTCCCTTGCCACAAGGAGCTTAGTTTATCAGGTTACACCCATCACAGTGCTCCCAAGTCACTCCCATTCCTTTGTTTATCTGTAACCACTTCTCTTTGCTCTCTTCCCCAACCAGTTAATCAGCTTTTTCCCCTAATCAAACTCTGTTAACTTGTAAGCTCAGATTCCTCAGAGATCTATGATTTTATATGTATGAGTGAAATATTGCCTTTCTCCTTTCCTTATGTCTTTTGAATAGTTTACTTTAAATAACGTCCTTTTTGTATAGATACAGGAAAACAGTTAATATGCTTTTGTAACTTGGGATTTAATTGGCTTCGAATACTATTCACTCCCAGGCATCTGCTTTCTTGACTTAAGCCTCAGTTGCTCTTACTTCCTAGCACCTCAAAAGCAGGGTCCCAAGGAGGGATTGGATGAACACAGGGCAAGCTCTGAGCTACCCTGGCATCGAAATGGGCCAGGCCAAAGTGCCACGTTACTCAACTATAAGTTGAGAGCTTGGGCATGGACAAACACTGTCATGATCCAAAAAGTAACGATGAGATTAGGACCCTGCTGTGGATAGGAAAGACTAATGCGGCCTGAGCACTGTAATCTGATATCGAGATGACCCCAGGAGAGCGATTCTATAAGCTTAATGTATCTTTTACTGTGTCCATACAGATTAATATTATGAATGCTTATATGTTTAGACAAGGAGAGGAGAAACACAACCAAGGGATTCCGCTCTAGGGTGGGTTGACCTGCTAAATGAGAATCTGTCCTAGAAGCAGCTTTCCCGAAACGGAAAGAACTTTACCCCTATTGATTGTGACCACACCTATGTGTAAGCCCCAACCCCATCATGCGTAGGGCTTTAACAAGACTGTAAAAGTCGGCTGGGGGATCAAGATCCAGATTCCCGAGCAAGAGGAGAAAGGGGGAATCCAGATTCCAGGTCCAGAAGGAGAATGAAGGTACAGGTAACGGCTACAGAGAAGTGGCGAGACGGCTTCCGGGATGGTGGTGAGGAGAACAAACAAAGTGAATGTAAACTCACAGAACTGCAGAGTGGATGAAATAGGATAAAAGGACGCATGTGCTAGGATAACGGATAAAAGATAAATCTTATATGTAACCATCACAATTAAAACCTAAAGACTAAGATATTATACCATAGTATTATGCATAAGATATTTTGGGTTTTTTTTTTGTGTGTGTGTATGTGTGTGTGTGTGTGTGTTTCTTTTTTCTTGCTTTTTGGGTCACACCCAGCGATGCTCAGGGGTCACTCCTGGCTCTGCACGTAGGAATCACTCCTGGCGGTGCTTAGGGGACCATATGGGATACCGGAGATCGAACCCTGGTCAGCTGTGCACAAGGCAAACATTCTACCTGCTGTATATCATTCCAGCCCATGCATAAAATATTACACATGAAAGTTCTGAACATACTTTACCTGAAAAATATATAAGCTTACACAAAAGAGCAAAGTACCCAATGAATTTTTTCCAATTGAATTTTTTTTTAAATCAACATCCTTTTAAAAGAAAGTATCTAATTTTTCAAATTGATCCCAGATTCAGATTTACATGAATCAGGACAGACTATAAGAGGGGAAATTACAGAACAAAGCAAAACAAAACACACAAAAAAAAACCTTGTTTCGGTGTTTCTTCCTCCTTCCTGTTCTCCTCATCCTCTATGCTAGAACTGTCCCGAGGAGAGGCATCCTGTTGGCCAGAGGACTGTTTCAGCAGTACAGGCTCTATCTGTGCCTTCAGAAGCGCAAGCGTCTCAGCCAACTCATTTCGATTTCTAAACAAGAGAAAACGGGACAGTATCAACATCTTCATCCTTAAATTGTTTTCAGCATAAGACCTGTTAGAAATAGAAATAAAAATTTTAAAAAGAAAGAAAATGACACTTGGAACATTCAGATCACTAATTCTCTAATCAACTGTGAATTTGAAAAATAAATGTAAAGTATAAAACACATATTAATATATATATATTTATTATATATAAACATCTCTCTGAGAGACAGGCAAGCTACTGATAGTATCCCGCCCGCACGGGCAGAGCCTGGCGAGCTCCCCATGGCATATTCGATATGCCAATTACAGTAACAACAACGGGTCTCATTCCCCTGACCCTGAAAGAGCCTCCAATCATTGGGAAAGGATGAGTAAGAAGAAGCTGCTAAAATCTCTGGGCTGGCTTCTGGAAAACAGTATGGATGATTTTCAAAAAATTAGAAATTGAGTTCCCATTTGACTCAGCAATACCACTCCTGGGAATATATCCCAGAGATGCAAAAAAGTATAGTCAAAGTGACATCTGCACTTGTTTGTTCATTGCATCACTGTTTACAATAGTCAGAATCTGGAAAAAGCCCGAATGCCCAAGAACAGATGACTGATTAAAGAAACTTTGGTACATTTACACAATGGAATACTATGCAGCTGTTAGAAAAGATGAAGTCATGAAATTTACATACAAGTGGTCCTACATGGAAAGTATCATGCTAAGTGAAATGAGAAAGAGAGGGACAGACATAGAAAGATTGCATTCATCTGCAGAATATAAAGTAACAGAATAGGAGACTGACACCTAAGAATAGTTGAGACAAGTCCCAGGAGGTTTGCTCCATGGCTTGGAGGTCAGCCACACATGCAAGGGGGAAAGGCAGCTCAGATAGAGAAGTGAACACCAAGTAAAGGGAGGATCTGCCCAGGATGGGTGATGCATGCTGAAAATAACTATAGACTGAACATGATGCCACTCAATACCTCTATTGCAAACCACAATACCCAAAAGGAGAGAGAACTAAAGGGAATGCCCTGCCACAGAGGCAGGGTGGGATAGGAGTGGGATGAGGCGGGGGAGGGGTGGGAGGGACTGGGATCATTGGTGGTGGAGAATGGGCACTAGTGGAGAGATGGGTACTCAATCTTTGTATAATTAAAACCCAAGCAAAAAAATTTATAAGTCTGCAACTGTACCTCATGGTATTTCACTAATAAAAAATTTAAAAAAAAAACAAACTCAGGGCCAGGAGGAACAGAGATGTTTTAAGCGCCCCCTTGAGTAATTCAACCATTGATGGGATGACAGTGATACAGTGATATGTACAAACATATATATATATATATATATATGTGTGTGTGTGTATATATATACATATAAAAATCGCTCTCCAGAATATTTTAGAGGATTCTTAGAACATTCTCTATTGATTAGAGTGGCAATGAAAATCTATATGGTTGAATAGTAAAAATCACAATTAAAAATATCAAAAGAATACAAACACAATGAAAAACTAAATAAGTAACTTTATTTATTTTTTTGCTTTTTGGGTCACACCTGGCGATGCACAGGGGTTACTCATGGCTCTGCACTCAGGAGTTACTCCTGGAGGTGCTCAGGGGGCCATATGGGATTCTGGGAATTGAACGCGGGTCGGCTGCGTGCAAGGCAAATGCTCTACCCGCTGTGCTATCTCTCCAGCCCCTAAATAAGTAACTTTAAAAATGAAATCATTAGAGCTTATTGGAAAGCCAGGTATGAACCAGCAGTGAAGGGGCAACTGCAGTCTCATGGGAAGGGGGACGGTACTGGCTCGTCCTTCACGCCCTACCGAGGTCATGAGTTGCCCCCACAAGCAGCTCTCTGGCATGGCCATGGCTCCAGAGGCAAAAGGACTTAGTCCAGAGCCCAGCAGCTTACAGAAGAAAAGTGAATGTACCGTGCATTAAACTATGGCGACATGCCTCCCCAGGAGAGAAAGGGTGTTGCTCCCTTCCGCCTTTTACTCTTTGGCAGCAGGGTGGCTGCCGCCTCAGAGCTTATAGGAAAGCCAGGTATGAGCTGGCAGTGATGGGGCAACTGCAGTCTCATGGGAAGGGGGGCGGTAGCGGCACAGCCTTCACGCCCTACCGAGGTCACGAGTTACCACCCAAGAGTGGCTCTCTGGCATGGCCATAATACCAGACACACAGAAACCAGTCTCGTAATTATCTGGTTCTTTGCAGAAATTCACAATCATGGCCGCGTGACACTATATGATTCTCATAACCAGCTATCATGGTCACGGTCCTCCAGTTGTTTATCGATTTGCTCGAGCGGGCCCAGTAATGTCTCCATCATGAGACTTGTTGTTACTGTGTTTGGCATATCCAATACGTCACGGATAGCTTGCCAGGCTCCGCCGTGCAGGCAAGATACTCTCGGTAGCTTGCTGGGCTCTCCGAGAGGGGCGGAGGAATCGAACTCAGGTCGGCCATATTGGCTGCGTGCAAGGCAAACACCCTACCACTGTGCTATCGCTCCAGCCCATGGGTAGCCACAGCGGTAGGGCATTTGCCTTGCATGCAGACAACATGGCCGATAACCAGCTATAGAAAACAAAATATTTCACAATGCCTTTTCAGCAATTCTGATTGTTTGAAGGGAAATTCTAAACAATAATGGTACATCTTTTGTCGAAATAATGAATGCAATCAATGTAGAGAAAAGTAGAAATCATCTGCCTCACAGGCATTTGGAGGGGTGGGAGGTGGGGCATACTGGGGTTCTTGGTGGTGAAAAATGAGTACTGATGAAGGGAAAGGTTTTTGATCATTGTACGACTGAGATTTAAACCTGAAAGCTTAGTAACTTTTCCCACAGTGATTCAATAAATAAATATAAGGTAAAGGTAAAGGCCCTCCCGTTGATCGTCGATTTGCTCAACAAAGTCTCCAATGGAGACGTTACTGGGCCCGCTCAAGCAAATAAATATAAAATGAAAAAAAAAAAATTTAAAAAATTAAGGTCGAGTTCATGCCCAATTCAATCAGCTAATTAGTGGCTGAATAAATAGCAGTACTCTTACAAAAATAAATAAATAAATCATTCAAGGTCTTGATGCACTGAAATAAATTTTCCCATCTTCACAGGTAGTAACATTTGGTACCATAAATTGTGATTCCATGCCTTTCTAAAAATAAAGATAAAAGTGAGCTTTAAGAATACAGTAAAGGGGCTGGAGCAATAGCACAGTGGGTAGGGTATTTGCCTTGCACGCAGCCGACTTGGGTTCAATTCCCAGCATCCCATATGGTTCTCTGAGCACCGCCAGAAGTATCCCCGGTGCATTGCCGAGTGTGACCCAAAAAAGAAAAAAAAAAGAATATAGTACAACTTTGGTTATACAATTTTGATTTAGGCTGCCATTTTTTTGGGGGGGGGGTCAACTATAATGTAAAATTGCAAGAAGGAGATTTAGTTTGAATTAAAAAAAATCTTTTTTGTTTTTTCTTTTGTTTGGGGACCTCCTCAACTGGTGATGGTCAGGATTTACTCCTGATTGCATTCAGGAATTACTTGCAGCAGTGCTGGGGGACGATATGGGATGCCAAGGACTGAACCCGGGCTGGCTTCATGCAAGGAAAATGTCCCACCTGCTGTACTATCGCTTTGGCCCCAACTCTAATTTATCTTTATACATTTGGTTTTAGGGTCACATCCAGAGGCTGTTTGGAGTACATTCAGTGTGATGGGTCAAACCTGGGCCTTTCTCATTTGAAGAATACAATCAATCAGTTTGTTGAGCTATCTCTCTGGCCCTATACTCATAAGAGTTAAAATACTCATCTATTCAGGGGGCCAGAGAGTAGAGTGTACCTTATGTGCAGCCAACCCATATTCAATCCCCAGCTACCCATATGATCCCCTGAGCCTGCCATACATGATTCCAGAACAGAGCCAGAGTGAGCTCTGAATACTACCAGGTGTGACCTCAAAACAAAAATACATAAACAAAACAAAAACATATTTAATAGTAATTCAGCCAACTCTAGTTCAATTCCCAGGACTAAAAGGTTCCCTGAGTTCTGACCTGAGCACAGACTGGGATGAGTCACTAAGCATTCCTGATTATGGCCCCAATCCTGCCACCTGACCAAACAAACATGTCTACCATTGTTTCTAGAATGAACTACAAACTTAGTTTTTTTTCCCCTCGCCCTCCACTGCTTTCTTTTCATCTGTATTTTAACATTTTAATATTTTAGTTCAGATAATATGACTACAATAGTATTAAAGTTCGTGGCACTGATGTACCAAGTGAATCCCTCCGCCAGGAGGAATCCTTGAGCACTTCTAGGTGTGGCCCCCAAAACCCCCAAAACGGGGGAGGTGGGGAAGGGAACTAAATACAACTCAGTAACTAGCAAATACTTCCTAAAGATAACTACTAAAGTACCACCTTACAAACATTTGTTTTTTTTTTCTGCATCAACCAGGCTATTCTCAGGTCTTCTTCCTGGCTCTACCCAGGGATCACTCCTAGCAGTGTTCGGGGGTACTAAATGGGGTGCTAAGGATCACACCTAGGTCAGAAGCATGCAAGGCAAACACCTTACCTGTCTGTAATATGTATTAACTGTGCTTTAGTCCCACATTTATTGATTTCTAACAAACAGAAATGGAAGTTTTAAGACTAGTGTAGTTATGGCATTTAATATTACAGTTTCTGTCACAGCAGGTTAATGTTCATGTCAACTGCAAGGACAGAACACAGTGCAGTGTTTTAAATCCCCACCACTGCCCTCTCCCTACACGTGCACAATACGCTCAAGTGTGGGACATGATTCAAAGAGACGGGAGGCTGCCCTGGCAACCATCTCCAGAGCCAGGGTTACTTTGGCTTCCTCTATGCACATCCTGTGGGCATGAACACACACACACACACACACACACACACACACACTGATATGGATATCATTTTTGTATTATGCAAAGTGGTTTTACTGTTCAATCAAACTTATATGCTA